CGCCTGCCCTTCATGCTTAGTTTTTGAGAGAAACAGCCAAACTGCTATCCCAGTGGCCTGGTTTTCCTTTGCAGTCTCATCAACAATGTCTGAGGGACCCAGTTTCCCCTCAGCTCTCGCTGGGGACTTTTATTCAGCCATTCTGATGTTGTTGTGCCCAGATCGTTGGATCCCCAAACACTGCCAGAGACTTGAACACACCGAAATGCAAGAGCAGGGTTTATTTCGGAATTACAAGCTGCAGCAGGGACCCCGTCTACTCAACCGCGCAGCAGAGGGCAGAGAAAGGCCCCGAGCCGGTCCTGGGAGCCTCTTTTAAAGCCGGGTTACGTCATCGAGGGGTGTGGGGTAACAGTGGATTGGCTGGGGTCACCTCTGGTACTTCCTGATCAGACGCGGCTGCTCCTGATTGGGTCAGACCAGGGGATTTCCTTATATGGTGAACGCTAACAAGCTGTTCCGCTGAAGTCGGGCCTGCCTCTCCGAATGGAGGCGCTTTTTTGAAGCATAGGTACTCCTGCCCTTCAATGTGTTTGTGGTGATGGCTCATTGGGGTTTTAGCTTGCATTTGCCTGTGGCTAATGCTATCGCGTGTCTTTAACGAACTTATTTGCACCTGTAGCTCCTCTTTGGCGAAGCATTTCTCCATGTCTTTTGTCAGTGTTTTAACTGGGCTGTTCCCTCTTCTGTTAAATTTCGAGGTTCTTTATATAATTCTAGATAAAGTCCTTTGTGGGATGAGTGGTTGGCAAACATTGTCACCCACTCTGTAGCTGGTCTTTTCATTCTCTTAATATTGCCTTTCTCAAAGCAGAAGCTTTTGGTTTGAAGTCCAATTTATCAATTTTTCATTTTATGGATTATGCCTTTGGTTTCAAGGCAAAGAATTTTCCACTCTAAATCCTCAAGATTTTCCCTTATGATTTTCTCCAACAGTTTTATGGTTCTATGTTTGTATTCATGATCCGTTTTTGAGTTACTTTAGGTCAAGGCTCTTTTCTTCCTTCTTTCCTTCCTTTCTCTTCCTCCCTCCCTCTCCCCCCCCCCCCCACCTGTTGGAGTACAATTGCTCTAGCAGCATTTGTTGACAAGGCTATCATTCCTCCACTGAGTTTCTCTTATTATACCTGGGCAACAATCAGGTGCAGTACTTGTTTGGTCTATTTCTGGGTTCTCTGATAGTTACCATGGACCTTATGTGTTTATTCCTGATCAGTAACATGCAGTCTCCCTTTCTCTGGCTACATAGTAAGTCTTGAACTCAGAACGATGAATTCCTATCATCTTATTCTTTTACAGAATTGCTTTTGCCTATTCTGTCTTTCCAAATAAATTTTAAAATAATATTGACGATAATCACAAAAAATGTTGCTGGGATTTTGATAGGAATTGTGCTAAACCTGTGTGTAAATTTTGGGAGAGTTTATACCTTTACCGTATTGAGTCTTCCAACCCATGGCTACAGGATGTCTTTCTACTTCTTTAGATCTTTTTTATTTCTTTTCTCAGCACTGTGCAGTTTTAGCATACAAGCCTTATACAGTTTTTAATATATTTAAACTTAAGAATTTGGAGTGGGTGCTTGACTTACTGGTTAAGATGCCCACATACAATACCGGAGTACCTGGTTCAATGCCAATCCTGGCCCTGGGCTCCAGTTGCCTGATGATGTACATCTTCAGAGAGAGCAGTGACTCTGGATTCCTGCTGACCACGTGGGAAACCTGGATTGTGTGTCTGGTTTCTGACCCAACCTTGTTTGTTGCAGGTTTTTGGAGAGTGAACCAACCAGCTGGAGCTCTGTCTGTCTCTTTATGTCTTTCTCTCTTTCTGTATCCCTCTCAAATAAATGTAAGCTCTCTCCCTCTCTCTGCCTCTTCTCTCTCTGTGTAACTCTGACTTTTAAGTAAATAAATAAATCTTTAAAAAAATAAAATAAAGGAAAAGCAAAAATAAAAAAATAATTTATGGTATACTTAGGGCATTTATATTTAATATAATTATTGATGTGTTAGGACTTTAGTCTGCCATTAAATTTTCCTTTAAGTTTGTTCTATTTTTTAAAAATTTGTTTTGAGAGGCAGAGAGAGAGAGAAAGCAAGAGTGAGAATAAGAGAGAGAGAGAGAGAGCTCAGCTACCTTTTACTCCTCAAATGTACAACAGCCCCAGCCTGGGCCATAGCCAGGAGCTGGGGACACAGGCCAGGTCTCCCATGGTGGCAGGAGCCCAGCCACTCGAGTCATCAGTGCCGCCTCCCAGGGTCCACACACCTTACCTCTGGGCCCAGCTCCTGCCTCAGCTCAATCTAGAAACTCACCGCCATCACTCTGCCCAGGTGCTCTGGCGTCGCCCGGCAGCCATGCTGGCCCCTGGCACAGCCCCGGGGTGCAGGCAGCTGGGTGTGGGCCCCTGGCTCCCAGCCTGCAGGCCTGGGGCTGACCAAGCCCTGCTTGGGACACTCACTCCCGCTGTTTTAGTGTGCACTCTCCGTACAACGTGAATTTTGTTTGCTGCAGCTGGCATTGTGAGCGGCTCAAGTGTCCAAAGGGAAAACCAACAGAACCGCTGGCATTTTTTCCTGCCGTCACATTTTCCCTCTCAAGTCTTGGGGAGCACAGCGCGAGCAGCTTTCGCAGAGGTGGTGACGTCCTTAAGGAAACCGCCGCCCTGGGCTCGCCTGTGCACTGCCCAGGGAGCTGTTGATCCCGTGAGAGCCACACCCACCTGCTCCACGGCACCCCGCGGTTGTGGGGTCCAGGAGAAGGCCCTTCCCAACAGCAGGCCCACACCCCAGCTGCTCCAAGCAGGCCCAGGTGGGGAACGCTCCCTGCAGCCGGGACCGATGTTCTCTCCGCCCAGGTGTGGGAGGCTCAGGTGCAAAAACAATGCGGTCATTCAGCAGAGGCAGGTGGTTTCATTGCAACACAGAGCGAGAGGAGCTGAGCCAGATGGCGGCGAGAGGCTGGGCCAGCCGTGGACGGAAATATGTTTCCAGAGGGAAGGAGCCGGCCAAGTGCCACGGATGCTCCCAGCCTGGGAGCCAGCGGGCGCAATCCAGCACCGCCAGAGACTTTGTTGCTGAGTGGCGAACAGTGGCCGCCCCCAGCCTGCCCATGTCGCCAGCCCCCAGGGGCTCCCTTTGCAGAGTGCCCCTCAAACCCAGCCCCTGAGGGCTCTGTCAGGGCCCTCCAGGAAGGCGCTGGCTGCTGATGGGTTGGGGCAGGCAATTTTTTTAAAAAATATTGATTAAGGGGCCGGTGCTATGGCAGTGGGTTAAGGCCCTGGGCTGAAGTATCGGCTTCCCATATGGGTGCTACTCGAGTCCTGGCTGCTCCACTTCTGATCCAACTCTCTGCTATGGCCTGGGAAAGCAGTAGAAGATGGCCCAAGTCCTTGGGACTGTGCACCCATGTGTGTGACCTGAAAGAAGCTCCTGGCTCCTGGCTTCACATCAGCACAGCTCTGGCTGTTGTAGCCAATTGGGGAGTGAACCAGCAGATGGAAGACCTCTCTCTCTCTCTCTCTCTCTCTCTCTATCTCTCTGTGTAACTCTGACTTTCAAATAAATAAATAAAAATCTTTAAAAAAATTGGTTTATTTGAAAGAGTGACAGAGAGAGAGAGAGAGAGAGAGACATAGAGACATCTTTCATCCACAAGTTCACCCCCCTCCCCATGACTGCCAATGGTCAGGGCTGGAACTGCTGGAAGCCAGGAACCAGAAACTCCAACCAGGGCTCCCACATGGGTGCAGGGACCCAAGTAGTTATGCCATCTTTCGCTGCTTTCCCAGGTGCATTAGCAGAGAGCTTGATCAGAAGTGGAGCAGCCGGGACTTGAACCGGTGCATCTATGGGATGCTGGCGCTGCAGGCGGGGGCTTAACCTTCTCTGCCACAGTTCTGGCCCCTGTATGAAGTTTAGGTGGGGTGGTTATCTGTATTCAGGTCTGTCTCCAGTTTCATTCAGTGAACCCTTGCCAGGGCCCAGGCACCATCTGCCAAGGGGTCCCCAGCATGTAGCACGGTGTGTGGTGTGTGCATGTGCGTGGCTTGAATCAGAACAGGCCTGGAAGTGGGGAGGCAGGATGAGAAAGCAGTCCCACTGAGATGGGGGGGGGGGAGCAGGCGTGTCCTCGCGTGCACACGCATGTGCTCTGTGTGTGTGTGCGTGCTCATGGCGGTGCTGAGCAGGCATTTCTGCCACTTCTGCTGTCCTAAATGCACAGAATGGAGATTGGTGTGCGTGGAGGGGAGGAAGCCACCAGGCAGGCAGGGCGGCTGGAATAAGAGCGGCCCGCCCGGAACGCAGCAGGCCTCTCCCGGGGCTCTGGCTCGTGGCACCTGCAGCTCCTGGGCTCTGCTCACACCAGGCTGCCTGTCGGGGATTTGAGCCCCTGGCTCCCTGAGGCTCTGAAGCAGGGAGATTCTGCGTGGTTGTCCTCGAGGGCCTTGGCTGGAGGAGCCCCCAAGGAAGTGCAGCCTCTGCCCGGACAAAGGATGAAACCGCCTGTGCTGGCGTCTCTTCCTGCTGCCCTACCGGCACCGCCCACGGGAGCAGAAATGCGGCAGACACGCAGGTAGGGCCGCTCTGCCTGGCGCTGGTGGCCGGGGGAGCACAGGCAGGGGCAGACTTGATCGGCAGCAGGTCTAGGTTTGCTGGGGCTTTTGTACGATGGATGGTGGGGAGCCCCCTTGAAGACGAAGAATACGAGACTGCAAATGCAAAAAAGTGGTCCCGGGCCTGGGACGGCATCTGGATCTGACTTCAAGGGCTTCCCAGTCAGCCAACCTCTGGTGCACCCTACGCGGAAGCAGGAGGTGAGCGTGAACACAGATCCTTCAAAATGTCATGGTCAAATGAAAAGAGACACTTGTTTTGGTGCAAGATGTTTGAAATCCACAAGTTTGTGGAAATGCATATTATAAAAAAAAGCATGGATTTCACAAAGATTATTTTTTAACACCAAAATGAATGTATCCTTTAATTATTTGACCATGAACTTTCTGAGGTACTGTTGTTATTAGCTTCCTGTGGCTGCTGTAACCAAATCTCACACACCAGGTGGAATAAAACAGTAGGAACTTTTTTAAAGATTTATTTATTTATTTGAAAAGCAGAGTTACAGAGAGGCAGAGAGAGAGAGAGAGGTCTTCCATCTGCTGGTTCATTCCCCAATTGGCTGCACTGCCAGAGCTATGCTGATTGGAAGCCAGGAGCTGGGTGCAGGGGCCCAAGGACTTGGGCCATCTTCTACTCTTTTCCCAGGCCGTGAAAGACAGCTGAATTGGAAGTGGAACAGCCGGGACTCGAACCAGCACCCGTATGGGATGCCGGCACTGCAGGCAGTGGCTTTACCCACTGCACCACAGTGCTGGCTTCCAACAATGGGAACTGAATTGATTGGCTCACAGTTCCAGAGCCCAGGAGCCTGGCATGGAGGCATCAGCAGAGTTGCGCTACCTCTGACACTCGCACAGGGCTTGCAACTCTCATTCTGGTCTCTGCCTTTGCTCTCACGGGGTGTTCTCCCTGTGTGCCTGTACCTTCACATGGCCACCTCCTTTTTCTCATTTAAATTTCTATGTATTTATTCAAAAGGCAGAAAGAGAGAGAAGGAGAGTAGCAGGAGAGAGTGGGGGAGAGAGAGAGAGAGAGAGAGAGAGAGAGAGAGAGACTTCTCATCCACTGGTTCACTTCTCAAATGCCCACAATAGCCAGGGCTGGGCCAGGTGGAAGCCAGGAGCTAAGAACTCAATCCAGGACTCTCACACACAGGGCAAGGCCCTAAGTACTTGATCCATCACCTGCTGCCCTCAGGGGGTGCCTCAGCAGGAGGCTGGAATCAGGAGGGGAGTCAGGACTTAAACCCAGGTTCCCCTGTATGGGGTGCAGGCTTCCCAAGTGGAGTCCTAGTGGCCTCAAATGCGCCCCCCCCCCCAGCATGGCTGTCCTCTCATGAGGACACAGTCACATTGGACTGAGGGTCCACTCTTCTCAGTGTGACTTCTCAGTAAGTAATTACGACTGCAGTGACTCCCTTTCCCACCAAGGTCACATTTTGAGGCTGAGGACGTCAACAGGTCTTTTTTTCAGGGCACGGTGAAGGCGCAATGCAACCCATAACAGGCAGTCGGAGGGAAGGGGGCAGTTAGTGGTAGAAGCAGCGGGAGCCTTCTGGAACCTTCAGATGGGAGGATCACCAGTTGCTGGCTAGATGGGCGCTGGGTGGACCTGGCTGGGGGTCTGGCGGCTCCGTCTGTGCTGTTGGTGTCTTTACTCCCGTGGGCCCGTAGCATCACATTGCTGGTCCCAAAGAGCCCTATGGTTCCCTCAGAAAGAGCCGCCACACTGCCCTGTGAGTGGGGGAGGAGCGAGGTCCACAGAACAAACCCAGCGCCGAGACGCGGTGGTCCCCCGTGGCTCAGAGTCCCCAGGCTGGTGCAATGCAGTGGCCGGGTATGTGCCCTCAAAACAATGCAGGCGTACCCAGAGCCCTAGAACCGTGAAGCACCACTCCCAGATGCCCACCAAAGGCTGCACACAGCCGGGTAAAGCCGCGGATGACTTGGGCTGCACTGTGTCACTGTTTATGGTTGCCTTCCTCTAAGAGGTTTTTCCCTCCTGATGATGTTTCGCTCAAATCAGTCAAATCAGTATTTCCCGAGCACATGGCAGCATGAAGGGTAGGAGCAGGCTCGGAGCATCTGGGTGGCAGGAAGAAGCCAGGCTGGGATGAAAAACAGACAAATCCCCCCAACATGCACACCGTGCGTCCACTCAGGGAACCCGAACCTGCTCGGCCAAGGTCACCCCACGGCTGGCCTGCTTGGGCTAGCATTCTAAGGAACGGAATGCTAGAGCTGCTGGGCCACTCGCCCCATGTCATGTTCCAGGGAGATGCACTCAGCCCCCAGCACGGTCCATGTGTGCTGAGTGAGTTGGCCCTCGCCATCCAGCTGTGCCCAAGGCTGTCGTGTGTAGTGGCAGTCACAGGCGGAGGTGGTGCCCCGCTGGTGAGCCGTGCGGGGGACAGGCCACGTCTTGCTGGCCCTGTGACACGAGGGAGGAGCGGGCACACAAGTCAAGGAGAGGAAGGGGTTCTGGTTCTATCTGTTCTGTGGTTGTTTGGATTTGAGACCAGGTGGCAAAGTCAAAATGGCCGTTTGGGGCAGGTGTTTGGCCACAGGGGCTAAGACACTCCTGGGAGCTGGATTCAGAAGCTGGACCCAGGATTCAGACCCAGCTACTACAATACGGGACATGAGCATTTACGCCACTAGGTTAAATATCCACTCCCTAAAGAAGGAGTTTTTAGTTGACTGAGCAAGCAAGTAGAGAAAAAAATGACGTATCAAAATGAGAGGCATGAAAACAGGAACAGACAGAACCCAGGTCAACCAAAGCCATCCGGGAAGGCTCCCTGGGGGAGGGAGACAGGGGCCAGGCAGCCGAGACAAAGGACTGCTTTTTCTGCCAATGATCTGGGGAGAGAAAGGCTCCTGCTGGGGCCGGCGCTGTGGCACACTAAGTTAATCCTCCACCTGAGGTGCCGGCATCCCATATGGGTGCGGGGTTCTAGTCCCAGTTGCTCCTCTTCCATTCCAGCTCTCTGCTCCGGCCTGGGAAAGTAGTGGAAGATGGCCCAAGTGCTTGGGCTCCTGTACCCACATGGGAGACTTGGAAGAAGCTCCTGGCTCCTGGCTCCTGGCTTCGGATTGGCGCAGCTCTGGCCTTTGCGGCCATTTGAGGAGTGAACCAACAGAAGGAAGACCTTTCTTTCTGTCTCTTCCTCTCACTGTCTATAACTCTGCCTGTCAAATAAATAAATAAAATCTTAAAAAAAAAAAAAAAGCCTCCTGCTGCTGGAGATGCCGGGGGCTCAATCCGTGAACGCCGCCAGCCCGGAGACTCTCAGCGACGATTTTCACAGGGGACCAAGCCAGAGCCTCACGCAAAGGCTCTGGGGGTTTGAGGGGGTGCAGGTGGAGGCCATGTGGGACGGGTTTGGGCATTGCTGTGCACTCATGTCCGACTCAGGCAGTGGGGCGTCCAGTGGGTGTGCTCAGGCCCTGATGGGTTTTCACCAGGCCTCTTGATTTCCCCTTTGAAACACCTGCTCCCAGGGTCCCGTCTTGACTCCCTTTCAGACTCATCCAGGCCACACGGGCGGATCAAACTCTCACCGCATGCTGAGCGCTCTCCCTGCAACAGTGCACGGCAAGACAGGTCTGGTCCCGGCATCCCGCAGCAAGAGAGACGCACAACATGCAAGTAGCTACGTCGACTGCTGGTATGAAAGCCACGAGGGACAGTCACCAGGGCAACCTGATGGAGGGGCGGGGAGGTGGTCAATCAGAGAAACCTATAGGTCAAGGCATGCCCAGAGCCAACCAGCAAAGGACAGGGAATAAAGTATTAGAATTTTATCAATTGAAAACTGAGATGAACTGCTACCAGCAAGAACTAACATGGTTTAACTGGGTGAGGGGTTCTCTCACTTAAGTACAAGGATATGCAGCCTAACAGCCCATCAGGGGCCTAGCTCTTTCTTTGTAGTACCTGCTTCTAGCTTTATAGTTACATCATGGGTCAAGATGGCTGCTAGAGCTCTAGCCATCACATTTGTGTTCCAGGCAGGAAGAAGAGAACGGGAAAGGGGCAATGAGGGGAAAGCCCAGTTACCTGCTTCCTTTTGTGGGAACTTTCCAGGAAATTCCACCCACTGAATTCTCACGCATATCTGTAACCAACTTAATTGGACATCCACGACAAGATGTAAGGGTGGCAGAGAGATGTAGCCTTCGGGCTGGGGCTCTGTCATGAGTTACTGAGTAGCTAACTGGTCACCTCTGCCCGCCAGAGACCAAAGGATGCTTCTACACCTTGCATTAAGGTCGGGGCACCTGCTCTTCTTCCCCAAGAAATAAGGATTGAACCTGTTTTTTTTTTTTTTTTTTTTCAAAGTACTGACGGTTCAAGATACAGCGTCCTTATTCCTGTGCCAAGTGCATGTTACCTTATTTGGAGAAAGCTTCCTGCAGATGAGAGTCCCCTGGCAAATCCCAATAGGCCCTCAGTGCCATCGCAAGTGTCCTCGCGTGAAAGAAGCAACGGGATTCGCGTGATGTGGCCACCTGCCAAGAGCGCGTGGAGCCACCAGGAGCTGGGAGAGGCCCGGAGCCATGGCCCTGCCAACTCCTCCATCTCAGGCGCTGACTTCTGGAACTGGGAGAGGACAAGCTTCTCTCAGCCTGAAGGAGGCCCTTTCCCCCAGCGCTCTGCCCTTGGGAGGGGTCTCCCTGCTGGCGCCGGGGGCCTCGGCAGAGTCTGCACCCTTCCGGGGGCTCCGGGCGCTGCCGGCCCGCCTCAGGGTGCCGCTGTCCTTGGAGGCCTCCTCCTCGGGGGCCCCCTTCACCCTGAGCTGCCGCTGCGAGACCGCCCGGGTGAGGCCGGGGGCTCTGGACGCGGCCGGGGGATCGGTTCTCATGCACCGAGAAGAGGAGGCCACGGTGTTGCGGGCAAAGCTGGGCACGGGGGCTGGGGCGCGGGGGGCGCTGGGGGCCGGCGGGCTCCTGGGCTCGTCGTCGGCGCCCTCCGAGGTGGAGCTCGAGCGGCACACCTTATTTTCCTCGGGCTTCTGCCTGGGGAGGTTCCTGAGGGGTTTGGCGGTGGGCTTCTTCAGGGAGCCCCTGGAGGGCACCGGGGCCTCCCTCCACGGCCGGGTGCTGCTCCGCGGCGGCCTCGGCTCCTCCACGGCCACCACCGCCTCAGCGCCCGTGGAGGGCCTGCGCGGCGACGTGTCCGAGGTGCCGAGCGCCGAGCCGCGGCGAGACAGCCGCGCGTCCACGCTGCCGGGCGAGTCCCGCGGGGACGCCCGCGACGGCGGCGGCTCGGGCCGCTTCCAGCCCGCAGGGCCCCGGCTCGCCTTGGAGATGGGCACGACCTTGCGCATGCTCTCGCTCTCCGAAGCGGTCAAGGTGCGCACGGGCTTGGGCGCGGCGCCCTGGCCCCTCCACACGCTCGCCGGCCTGCAGGTGCTGGGAGCCGCCTCTCTCGGTGGGTTTCTCTTCGGCGTGGCCATTTCCTTCCCTTTGGCAGATCTGACCCTGGGAAGGCCCCGTTGGCGCTGGGCTCACTCCCGGAGCCAAGAGCCTGGTCACGCCGCCTGGACCACAAGTCCCTGAAACCCTGAAGATGCTGAACTGTGCCGTGGGCAGAGGATGGGGCCAGCAGCGGGGTGGAGAAAAACCCAAACAACTCAGGCAACACGGAGGTGCCCCCAGCCGTACCTGAACTGCTTTGTTGAACTTGACACAGAAGTCTCTGAATATCTGCAAGCATTCGTCCAGTTTCATGGTTTCTTTGTCTTCTCAAAAGAAGTCTATGAGAGTGTGGGCCTCGTCCTGCAGCTCTTGTTTCCAGTGCTCCAGTTCTGTCAGCTTTTCCACGGCAAACTGTGGAACACAGGCGGGCGCAGGCGGAGGTCAGCAGCAGGCCGGGCGCTGGGCGTCCCCTCGGGGCTCCAGACGTGCCCGCTCCCATGTTCTGGCTCAGGTCCCGGGACCCGCAGGCTTCCTGTGAGGCCGATGCACCCAAGGGCAATGCCAAGGGCAAATAATGCAACCCAAGCACAACCTCGGGCAAGCGGGGCAGATGCCTTCGAGAACCTGCCATGGACACAGATGTCACCTTTATGTCGCTGAGGAAACTCACGGGCCTACGGTCGATCTGATGAAGACATCTCCCCCTGCACATCTCCTACCTTCTCAGAAAGCTCTTACACTGGCCTAGAGTCTACTGTAGGGTGCCTGAAGTCACTTGCTGGATTGATGACTTGTCAGCTTAGCCCTGTTGACAGAAAGTTCACACTTAACCCCGAATGAGTGCTACCAGGGCCTGACTCGGGCCACAGGACTGAAGCCGGGGTTCCTGGCCAAGGCAGCCAGACGCCCCAGGCAGCAGCCCCTGCTGACACCCCCTATCATACAACTTAACAGGTTTGTGGGAGCTCTGCTTTCATGTTTTATTAGCCCCCCTCCCCCCCAACAGGAGACTCTGATGGGTCCTTGTGGTTAGAAGTTACTGCCCTGGGGCCAGCACTGTGGTATAGCCGGTAAAACCGCTGCCTGCGGTGCTGACATCCCATATGGGCACTGGTTCAAGTCCTGGCTGCTCCACGTCCAATCCAGCTCTCTGCTATGGCCTGGGAAAGCAGCAGCAGATGGCCCAAGTCCTTGGGCCCCTGTACCCACATGGGAAACCCAGAAGAAGCTCTTGGCTCCTGACTTCAGATCAGCTCAGTTCCGGCCATTGCAGCCATTTGGGGAGTGAACCAGCAGGTGGAAGACCCTTTCTCCCTCTCTCTCTAGCTCTGATTTTCAAATAAAATTTCTTTCTTTCCTTTTTTTTTTTTTTAAGAAGTTACTTTCCCTATAAGCCCACTCTCTTCTCTATTTTGCCCTACTTCTAGGTCGAATAGTCTGTGAGCTCCTACAGAAGCTGGTACTGCCTCAACAAGGTGTGGGAATGAAGGAAGTTTTCTCTCCTGTCCTGCAGTGAGTCCACACGCCTTTCCAGATGGAGTCTTCCACCTCTGAGGGTCCCACACACCATGGCACGGGAGGGACAGGGGCTCTGGGGCAGCCACAGCCCCACAGGAGACCGAGGGCTGGGGTCCACACTCAAGTCCCGTCCAGCCTTACCGGTCCCATGGGCAAGTGGTCTGTTTGAAGATGGCGTGTGCGAGGTATGCTACGCCATGAGACCACATGGCTCGGGTTTCGGAAGAGCATCTCTGAGACAGAGGGCCCAGCCCCTGGGAGTCGCGTCCCCGGCCCCTTTCCCCCTTGAAGGCCCTTCCCTCATACCAAACACACGTGAGAGGTAGCAGGAAACCAAAAGTATTTGGGAAAGCAAATAGCAGAGAAAGCGACCCTGGGAGTCAGGGCCCCCGGGCAGACCGCGAGCCCGCTGCGTGTCTCTCGGCGGGCAGGAGGAATTATCCAAAGAATAAATCTCCGCCTGTCACTCCTCTACGGGGGCGGGAGGGGGCATGGATGGCAGCCAAGGACCCCTGAGCTGTGCAAAGAGGCCCCTTGACCAGAATCTCCACGGGAACCGCGCCCCGCCTCCCAGGGCCCGTGGGGACGGACGGATGGATGGGCGGAGGGAAGAACAGAAACGCAGCGAAGCCACCTTAGGACTTCAGAAAACCTAACCGTGCTCGCGCGCTCTGTGACACACTCCATTCCATGCCACGTCTCCGGCTTGCCTGAGAGGGGCCCCGGGCCCACACAGGTAACTCGGCAGTTCTCACCGGAAGGGTCTGCCGAACAGGCCTCCTGCCGCCTCCCACCCAGAGCCACGCGTGCGAGGTTCAGCGCTGTGCCCAGGGCCTGACCCTAGCTCGTCTCACCTGCTCCACAGGCAGCTGTACCCTGAGCCTGGCTGTGTCGGCATTTAGTCTGGGGGGCCTAATCGTTATGATAGGAACCCGGGGGAAGGCAACGTCCAGAATTAGAATTAGGACAGATCAGGTGGTATTTCTGCAACCCTGTGTACCGGTGGTGGGGACTTGGGCGTCAGGCAAGGCCCACTGCTGTTCCGGTGGCACATGGGAGCAAAGGCCTTTGCTGGCACAAGTCTTGGGGACCTGCTGTTCCTCACTAGCACCCAGTGCCACCTTGCACGCCGAGCACCCCCAGCACCTGGGGCGGCTCCTGTCTCACTGAGGGCTGAAAGCACGGCCGGTGTCACTTCCTTCTTCAGTAAGGGAGAGAGAAGTGTGTCAGCCTAAGTGATAAGTGAGTCACGCCGCACACACGTCGGCTTCGCCTTGCTCGGGCGAGGCCCTTCCAGGCAGCTCCCGACAGGCCCCGGGGCCCTGATGGGCGTGGCCTTTGCGGCTGCCCTATGGGCGTGGCCTCTGCAGCTGCCCTGGGAAAACACCCTAGGCACAGGCAAGTGGCGAGGACACCCCGAGCTCTAAGGCTGTCTTGATGTCTGTGGGGCTTTGTTTGGGTGTGCAGAGACAAAACCCGAGTTGACAGGGCGGGTCCAGGGTAAGCAAGCCCGGTAAGCCACCGGCGGCCAGCCACTGAGCACAGCGCCATGGTGCAGCCTCCCAAGCAAGACCAGAGGCCCGGTCCCCAGACTCAGCCACGGCCTCTGTCAAATACGGACGGTGGACCACACGGCTCTGTTACCTGACCCGGGGGTGGGGGAGCCTGCAGCAGCCACGGAAGCCCCTGCCGACGGCTGGAGTCGCCTACAGACCTGAAGGAAGTCTTCCATCTGCTGGCCCAGCTCCGCGTCCCGCTGCATGTTTTCCTGGAGCGACCGCGTCCTGACGAACAGGGAGCGCAGCTCTGCCTCGGTGCTGTCCAGGGATAATCTGAAAGGAGACAGGGGCGAGCGGGCAGTGGGCACGAGGGAGCCGCGTGGCACGTCACACAGGAATGACCGTTTGGCCAGCTCTGGGAACAGAAGGGATGGCGCCTGCGGGACGCCCCCTCCTCACCCCTGTACCGAGGGCTCCCGTGTTCCCTTTTGTTGTGTTAAGAGGTGATCCCTTCCTGCAGACTGGTGCGGATTCAAAGAGGACAGGCGGTAACTTCGTTTCTGCCGGGGAGATGGTCAGAGTCCTGGGACCTGAGGGCTTTCATAACTAGTTTCTGGACAGCTGCATGCAGAAAGCACTACACACCAAGAGCCGAGGGCCGGCAGCTGAGCGCCAGGTTAGATTCTCCCAGCTCCAGCTTCCTGGGTGGGGGGCAGCGGCCAATCTCCAGTACTCGGGGTTACCGGGCTGGCCTCCTCTCCCCACAGCCAGCCAGGGCAGGCTCCACATATTTGATGGAGAACTGAAACACAGCTCCCTCTTGAGCAAATAAATACTTGGATTCATGGCAATGCTTCTGTTACAGACATCCAGTCCAGAGGAAAGAACAGGAATGATGGTTTCATCACCTTGGAAAGTGGGGAGATAAACATCTAATATCCAGGTGAGATTCATAAATTAAGATGCACTAACACTTCCACTGTGGATTCCAAAAGTCTTTCTTTGGATAGTAAAGCTGTCCACCTTCGAAGGTCCCCTGCCCCCATCTGTGATCTGTCTGTACTTTAGAAGCTTACTGTACCTCCCATGTCCAACCAACCAACCAACCTGACCAAACAGAGCGCTTCTCAGATAGTATCTAGCCAAACTTCTCAGCCAGCCCTGGCCAGAAATGCCAGTTCAAAAAAAATCAGAATGGCAGTTTCGCTCTCTCTCTATATCTCTACTAGTTATATTTCCATACTAGTTAAGAGGAAAACTGTTCCCATGTAAACTTTGTTCATTCAAAACAAAAACAGTTCCTGGCCCGTAAGCCGCCCACTCTTTCGGGCAGGCACTCTCGGCCATCTGTAAACATGAATTATGAATGGGTGACACTTCTGAGCTGACAGTCCCATTTTCTGGGGACTTAGGAACCTTCAAATCGCTGCTCCTGTTTCTCAGCTTGCTGCATTAGAAGCGACTGCTGGGACACGAACCCTGACAGTAAGATTCAGCAGAAATTCCTGACCCTTAAGATCCAGTTAGCTTGCTGGGCAATTGATGGGGACGGGAAGCCCAACCCGTGTGTGGGTGACCCTGGTGGAAGGAGGTGCCAGCTCCGCAGAGCCCGCTGTTGCTGGGGGAACCCAATCCTCCTGTTGAATGCCGCCCACACCCGGGAGCCTGCCTCTGAATGGCCGAGATGCCTTCGGCTGCTAAACCAGTTTGCAAGCTGAGTGTAACCAGAAGGTGCACAAGCGTGGGGGTGTCTGGATTCTTCACCTGTTCAGAGGGTGAGAGGGAGTGGGGGGAGGGGAGCCACGACGGACTGGGGAGATGTCCCAGCACGGGCAGGGACCAGGTCACACAGAGTGACTGGACGCATGGGTCGGTAACAGCCCTGCTGTTATGCCCTGGAAGCTGACTTTCCAATCAGGCGGGGAGCTGGACACGGCCCGCTGCCTTCCGCGGACACAGCGATGCAGGTGCATGTGGTTGAGGCGGGCTCGCTGTGCACCACACTCGCTCTGAGCCCTTCCCAACCCTGTCTCAGTCACCTGATTCTGAGGGAAGCTACCACCACCCCCTGCACTCGGTGAAAAACTGGAGGGGCTGAAGGCCTGAGCCGCTTGTCCAGGAAGTCCAGGCGATGCAGGACGCTGAGACCCTTCCCGTTCTGAAGCTCCCGCCCAGCACAAGCAGGCGGCGTGGCTTCCTGCTTGGGTGAGGGCTCGGTGCGTGTCACCAGTGTCACACGAGGGGAGCCAGCGGAGGAGAGGCAGTCAGTGTAACCAGGGGGTGACTCTGCAGAGACAGCGGCTCGGCTGCTCTGTCACCCTGCACCCAGCTGTCCTGGGCTCGCAAAGACCCCCTTGAAAAAAAGCAAGCCACAGCCTCCAGGCCTGCAAAGCACAGTTCACAGACAAGTTTTCTCTGCAGAAAACAATCAATTCCACATCCTCTCCTCTCTGCCCTTGAGCCCCCACCACAAGCTGAGACGTACCCCCAGCCTTACTTTTCCAAAAACAAAACACCTGGCCACGCCATCATGCGGCACACACACTTCTGTGGGCTCCCTGTGGCTCTATGTGTCATGGTGACTGGACCATGGGTAGCCAGATGGTTTGATGTTATCATGGATGAGTCTGTGAGAGTGTTTCTGGAAAAGATTAATATTTGTGTCCACGGCCTGAGTAAAACAGATTTCCCTCTCAGTGAGCGTGGGCCTCATCCAACCCACTGAAGGCCTGACTAGAACCAAAGCCTTAGTTACGGAGAAGTTGCTCCCTCTGCCTGTATTCTATCTGGGACATCAGCATTCTCCCACCTTTGGGTTCAAACTTGAACTGAAACTTACACTGTTACCTCTCCTGGTCCTTCAGCTAAAGATGGACTAAATCATCTTCTTTCCTTGAGGTTCAGATCTGGAATTACACATCTTGGGACTTCTTGGCATTCGTACTTGTACAATCCACATCCTTATAGCAAATCTCTTTCTATTGATTTTATTTTCCTGGAGAATGCCAACTGTTACACAGAGCCTCCTAAATCTGTACCAGAGGAGAAAAGATTCAAACACTGTATGACCTCAAGAAGATCCACAACCAACTTGACAAGTGGCCATGGAGAATAAAGCACAGAGCAGAAGGTTCTATAGAGCAAAGCAAAGGGACAAAGAAATTCTAGAGAGAAAAGGCAGGGATCATCAAAGACAGCTCTGAGGGCTTTTGTAACGCCTTTCCATTCTTTCTTTTTTTCACGTGAAGTTTTAAATTTGGTTTTTCCTTTCCTGGCTCACATGATATGTTTTCTGTGTATATTAGGCAACATGAAGATAATGTCTTGCCCATATTTTAGATTATACATTTCTAGGCCATAAGGAGCCACTGTGGACCCTATGGAGAAGTGGCTCAGCTCTCAGAGATCTTGAATTTGGACTTCATTTTTTTTGAGGGGGAACAAACAATCTTTATTATGTACAAGGAGCCCGTGGTGCGGTCACCCCAGCTTCATGGCCAGCTCCTTGGCCTTGGCCTTCTCCAGCTTGACGATGCTAGCCACAGTAACTAGATAGGACTTCAAGTCTTTCTTGGGGATGGGTGTTGTGTTGCATACATAGAAGGAATAGTGTGCAGGATTTTTGGGTGGTCATGGGGGCAGATTGTGGAAGACTGATAGTTACATCTTTATTCATGGGGTGGTCATGCATGTAGAGACTATTTCTCAGTCTTCCTTGTAATGAACTTTGATCATGTGATTAACATTGGACCAATTTCCCACTTAAGGACTAATCATTTTTCCCAAATGCTTGTGAACTGAAACACAGGCATGCCAGGGCCCTGGTTATGACCATGAAGACAAGAAAAATGCTTTGGGGGCACGATCAAACACAGGTGGAAGGTACATGGATCTCAGAATGTCTACCTGTAACAGATCAGACTGCGTGCTGCATCATAATGTGATACAGAGATAATAATCATCCTACTTAAGCCATTGTATATTGGGATTTCATTCATCTATCCTATAAAATTTAAAATAATTGACAAATATTTATAATGGATGCAATTTAAAATAATAAAGTAATTTCACCACACAACAAATCTAACTGTAACCTTTTAGACCTAGAAGTCACTTTAAAGTTTGCAAGTCCATAACCTTGTACTTGATCATGGTTCTGTTTCATATGAATTCTCCTAATCTTATATATCCCCTAAGTTCCCAGAAGAGTATCTCAGATAATATGAATCCTTTTTCATGGATTATCTCTACAACAATACTAAGGGTAATGTGGAAGCTTGATAAACATCCTCTGGTTGACTAAAAATCATGCAAATACAACAAATACTGGGGTATTTTGAAAGAGTAAATATTTTTTTTAAATTACTAGAAAAAAAAAAGATAACCTTCTTCCTCAAGTTTGAATGAAGTCATTGATTTTGGCCAGTAGTTCGAAGTTCCTGATTGAATCTCTTCTTTCAGCCATAAAGAGGTAGCGAGTTTTTCACAATGATACATGTTGGAGTCTAGTCTTTCTGGTCATGAAGAAGTTTTTGTGGTCATTGTACTGTTTTTTTTTTTTTGGTCACTTGTGTCAACTTTTATTTAGGCATCAATATTATTGGGCATTACCATGCTACAATATGAAAACACCAATTCTAAGAGAAATAGAACAATAAATACAGGTAACTCTTTTATAATCATTATACACCACCATTGAACTCGAGTTGGAAGAGGCGAGTCCGGTCTCAAAATGGAGGTAAAACCGCCGCCCGGTCGCCCCCAGCCCGACTCCGGCCGTCGCCGCCGCCGCCGGGGGGAGGAGGGCCATGATCCAAAGGAACCAGAGCAGTTGAGGAAACTGTTTATTGGTGGTCTGAGCTTTGAAACTACAGATGATAGTTTGAGAGAACATTTTGAGAAATGGGGCACACTCACAGATTGTGTGGTAATGAGAGACCCCCAAACGAAACGTTCCAGGGGCTTTGGTTTTGTGACTTACTCTTGTGTTGAAGAAGTGGATGCAGCAATGTGTGCTCGACCACACAAGGTTGATGGGCGTGCTGTGGAACCAAAGAGAGCTGTTTCTAGAGAGGATTCGGTAAAGCCTGGTGCCCATCTGACAGTGAAGAAGATTTTTGTTGGTGGTATTAAAGAAGATACAGAGGAATATAATTTGAGAGACTACTTTGAGAAGTATGGCAAGATTGAAACCATAGAAGTTATGGAAGACAGGCAGAGTGGGAAAAAAAGAGGATTTGCTTTTGTAACTTTCGACGATCATGATACAGTTGATAAAATCGTTGTTCAGAAATACCACACTATTAATGGGCATAGTTGTGAAGTGAAAAAGGCCCTTTCTAAACAAGAGATGCAGTCTGCTGCTGGATCACCAAGAGGCCGTGGAGGGGGATCTGGCAACTTTATGGGTCGTGGAGGAAACTTTGGAGGTGGTGGAGGTAATTTTGGCCGCGGTGGAAACTTTGGTGGAAGAGGAGGCTATGGTGGTGGAGGTGGTGGCAGCAGAGGAAGTTATGGAGGAGGTGATGGTGGTTACAATGGTTTTGGAGGTGATGGTGGCAACTATGGTGGTGGTCCTGGTTATAGCAGCAGAGGAGGCTATGGTGGTGGACCAGGATATGGAAACCAAGGTGGTGGATATGGTGGAGGAGGAGGATATGATGGTTACAATGAAGGAGGAAATTTTGGAGGTAACTATGGTGGTGGTGGAAACTACAATGATTTTGGTAATTATAGTGGACAACAGCAATCAAATTACGGACCCATGAAAGGGGGCAGTTTTGGTGGAAGAAGCTCGGGCAGTCCCTATGGTGGTGGTTATGGATCTGGTGGTGGAAGTGGTGGATATGGTAGCAGAAGGTTCTAAAAAAAAAAAAAAAAACAAAACAAAAGGGCTACAGTTCTTAGCAGGAGAGAGAGCGAGGAGTTGTCAGGAAAGCTGCAGGTTACTTTGAGACAGTCGTCCCAAATGCATTAGAGGAACTGTAAAAATCTGCCACAGAAGGAACGATGATCCATAGTCAGAAAAGTTACTGCAGCTTAAACAGGAAACCCTTCTTGTTCAGGACTGTCATAGCCACAGTTTGCAAAAAGTGCAGCTATTGATTAATGCAATGTAGTGTCAATTAGATGTACATTCCTGAGGTCTTTTATCTGTTGTAGCTTTGTCTTTTCTTTTTCTTTTCATAACATCAGGTATATTGCCCTGTAAATTGTGGTAGTGGTACCAGGAATAAAAAATTAAGGAATTTTTAACTTTTCAATACTTGTGTAGTTCAGTTTTTCTACATTTTAGTACAGAAACTTTAACACAATGCAGTTTCGAAGGTGTTTCCTTGTGAGTTAACAAGTAAAGAAGATCATTGTTAATTACTATTTTGTATGAATTTTGCTAAAGTTAACTGTAAAGAAATACCTACTGACTTGCGGGTTAAGGGGAATCTATTCTCCCCATTTCCAAACCATGATATGAATGGGCACTGACATGTGGAGAGAATAGATATTTGTATGTTTGCAATGTCTGTTTTAGATAAATAGGATTGGGTATTTAAATTAGCATATTTGTGAATTTAATAGCGTTAAGATTACCTTCAAATGAAAAAATCTCAAAATTCCTATTTGGTTTTGTGCATTTTCTTTCAAATTGTAATCTTATGATTTTAGTGTGTTAGATTTGCTGAGTCCTAGCTGTGTTTAGAACATCTCCATTCTACATTTACCTTGGTCACATTTGAACTGCTGCCATAGTTTTTGGGTATAAAAGAATGTCTACCGCCCTCTTCAAATTCTGGGAAGGGAGGATAGTGGGTGTTTTCCCACTCCTACCTTAAAAACCATTCTTAAACACTTCAAAATATAGGACCACTAAGCTTGCTATATCTGAGCATATTAGTTGGGTACCTTTATTTTTAAAGCACAAGAGGCCCATAAATCTTATTATTTTCCATGGTTTACTTTTTTTGTTGGTTACAAGCTCTCAGCAAGAGAATAAAATTCATGTATTATTGAACCTTTAAAAAAAAATCATTATACACCTGAAGATTTGAAAACAGGTTCAGAATGGGGAAAGAGAGGCTCAGCAGGGTTTATAAAAGGACCATAACAAGAAAAATACCATTTCAGCTTAATACAGCCACCCAGGTCTTCTTGTCCTATCAGTATTCTGAAAAAAGTTAAGATTTTTTTGGCTATAGCTTTTTAGTCATCAGTTACTACAAATATTTGCCTCCTATCAACAATGATATCCAAAGAATATCTAAGGACAATAAATAGCTTATAGGTATACTGACTTAATTCTGGATAATTCAGTTAAATAATACTGCTTACACAGCACTCTTTAAAGGGGATTAATTCACTGAAAATGATCACCAGTTTTGGGTACTGTAGAATACACTATTTAATGATAATGAAACCTACTTTAACATTTACAAACATATTAAGTTCAACAACTGTAAAATAAAACAACTTCTATATAATACTTGAATAATCAAACAATCATGTTGGCAGGGCTAAGATAAATGAAAATTTAGAATGAAGTCAGCTTCTCCAATTACTTTTATATCAGAGGTAGTGAGGACTGGCCAATTTACACTGAAGTATAATGTACAAATGACAATAAATGGCAAAGTTTTGCAAGATGAATTTCTACAGCAATCAGGAAGGAGCTGGCACTTCTAGAGAAACATTCAATATACATTGTAATATTAGCTTCGATGAATAAGAGATTCTGATGGAATGAGGATGTTTTTACCAGTAATTCCTCAATGATTTGAATTTTCCCAATAGATATCCAAAAACAGCTGGTTGAGCTCTTTTTCTATAAAAACAGCAATTAAGAATGGGTCATTATATGAGCAAAGCAAGACATCAAATGAGAATTCTGAAGTTACAGTTTCACTTCCAGGGTCATGTAGAATATGCACCTGTTTTCAACTTTGGGTTAAAATATCTACAAGACTGTGGTTGGGAGCCTCCAAAGAGGGCTGTGCGGTAGTCATGTTTCTTTCTTCTAGGCCTGGTGCCATCTACGAGTTCTTCTTGATCCTCTGGGGACAGGAGATGGTACCTCATTCCACTTATCACCATCTTAAGGCATTCAGGATTGTCTTGAATAAGCAGTTCAGCTTGTACTGTTTTACTTAAGAAATTCTTTGATATAAGAGGAAACCTGACTTTAGCAAGGATATGAACCATAAATGGCTGGCGATTAGGTTCGTCATATTTCAGCCACCTGACTGCAGCATCATAAACCTGATCCTCTGCCCTCACAGTCAGAGTGTCCTGGTTGAGAAGATGTGTTACGCGCTTGACATCAAGCTGGAGAAATTCATCAGTTTTGTAAACTTCAGTAAAATGCTGATAAATAAAGTCATCTGCAGTTGCTTTCAATTCAGGACAGTCCGGACACTCCGCTAGCACACTTATACCAAGACAATTTGAAGTATCCACTTGTTCTTTCAAAAAATCAACACCCATTTTCTTCACAGGTTCAGTCTGGTACTGGTTTGCTGCATCTAGCAAGGACTGAACATTGTTGCTAATCACAGAAATTCTAGCAGTATACGCAAATTCCACAAGTTGTTCAATAATGTCAGATTCAGCATCTTTGAGTTCTACTTCAAAGGACTTCGATTCAAGCATGTTTGTCGTGAACATTAAGTTAAAAAAGTGACTGGCTGCAGCAAGGACAACTCGATGAGCAGGAATCTTCCTCTCCTGGACCATGAGGATCACATCACACAGTGATGTTATTCATAACGCCCATGAAGCCCGACAACAGTTTAGCTTCCTCTCACGCCGCCAGTTTCTTCTCCGTCTTCTTCTTGCTGCTCCTCTCCACCCCGGAGGCTGCCATGGTCCCTCGGAGCGGGTAAGGCCCCAGAGCGCTTCAGGCAGGGCCAGCGAGGAGGGGGCGGTGTCACTCTCTCCTGGCTCGCTGCAGGCAGCACTCTGGCCGCGGTTACGGTTACATAGCTTGACGAGGCCTGAAGCCCTCTCAGAAACTCAACAAGAGGGAGGAGCCCCGGCCGCCTCTGCGGCTTCCCGGGCAAGGACCCGAGCCTACCCCAGGAACCTGCGCACTTCGCTGTGTGTGTCATTGTACTGTTTTCTACACAACAGAAGATTTTGAAGTTCGTAGATCAGAATTGTATATATTAAGATGCCTTCCATCATTTAGTTTCCCTGAGCTCTTTTATTTTGGTTTTCATGTTTCTACTAGTAATAGTTCTGAGCTTGCTTTCTCACCTCTCCATCACATTCTTTTCTTTTGAGATTTATATTTTTTCAGAGGAAGAGTTACAGAGAGAAACGGAGAGGGAAAGAGAGATCTTTTATCAGCTACTTCACTCCCCAAATGGCTGCAATGACAGGGGCTGGACCAGACAGAAATCAGGAGCTTGGCACTTCATCCAGGCCTCCCAGGTGGGTGGCAGGGACTCAAGGACCCGGGCCCATCTTCTGCTGCTTTTTCAGGCCTATTAGCAGAAAGCTAAATCAGAAGCACAGCACCTGGGACTCGAACTGGCACACACATGGGATTGCCAATGTGCAGATGGCGCCTTAGCCCACTATGCCACAGCATCGCCAGTTCTGTTGAATTCTTAAGAGCAGATTTTCACATTCCAGGCTTTATTGAACCAGTGCAATCACAGCTAGTTGGGTCTGCTAGAACCCACATCACCTCTAAATAAAAAGTGTTCCATTTCGGAGACTGTGGCATTACCACCTGGTGCAAGAACTAATTCAATCCTATAAATGAAAATTCCGTGTGTAATCAGCATGGAAGGAAAAAGGGGAGAGGGGCCAATAAGCAACCACTATTATTGCCTAGACACTGAGGAGACACATCCAGTGCATGTGACCACTTGGGTCAATGTAGTGATTCTTATCTTGCATACCTACATCATACCTTAGTTTGAAGCCTTATCTTTTTATATGAGTAGCTAACATTTAGTTACTACTTTCTCTTGCCAGATAATATAAAAACCTTATGCTATTTTAATTGTATAATTATCCATTCCCAACAATATGAATTGGATGTTTTGGTTTTATGAGCTATGTATTTATCTCCATTCTATGATACTGAGGCCTAGAGATAATTTGTCAGGTCCACACAGCTGGTGACTGGGAGAATTGGCGTTCACATTGGCAGTCCTCCTGGAGAGTCTGTTCTCTCAAACAGTGCCCTGTTAGGCGGTTGCTGCTTTGTTCTCCCTTTCAATGGCTCTCTGTTGAATCTAATCCCTTGGCAGTCAGCGCTCTCCGTAAGCTGGCATCATCCTGGCTTCTATCACATCTGCCAACAACCACTCTGCTTTAACACTAGGCTTCACTAAAGTGGCTGTTGCTGCTTGCTTCCCGCCTGTTTCGTCAGTGGTAATTTACTTTCAAAATCCTTCATGAGAGAAAGTGTGATAATGTAGGAGTGTGCTAATTAGTTTGAATCCACATGAGTGCGGATAGTTGCCTGAAGAGGGAATACACACTTTAGGGATGGTGATGCGGCATTTAATTGAAAGGGCTCTCTCAGAGGAAAGAGCTCCTATGAACTCTTCAACTGTCTTTAGCTGTAATCAACACCAGATGCTTTGTCAATTAGCAAAAGGAAGTTCGCAATTAGTTTTCACTAATGAAATAAATTGTGTTAAAGATATTTGGATTGGTCAAAAATAAGATCCAGCATATAAGAATCTAGCAGGCCCAGTAGACTTTATCTTCCTAAGTAGTGCCCACGGGTTGATTCTGCCATGTTGCTTATGGGCAGCCTCATGTTCAGAGAACTCTGGTTGCCTGATGTTGAACACGAGCCAGTGTACTCTGCCTTTGGAATACTCCTGATTTTGTCTCTAGCAAATCTTTCATGCCAGGTATGGTCAGAGCACCTGAGAAGACAGAGAGCTGGGATTTGACCTCATGAAGTATGTTTCTGTTTGCTTGCTTGCTTGCTAGAGGATGTTTGTAGGTGTACACAAATTCTATCTAACAGTAATTTTTATTTGAAACAGTGAGATAAGAGAGGCTCCCTAGGTCTGTTACTTATATCTGATAACCTTTACCTTTTAGTGATTACTGTTATCTTCCATAAACTTCTGATAATTATCAATGATTTTACTGGCTTAAGCAGTTTGCTATCACTTCCATTCCAGGTTCATTTCTCCTCTTCAAACTCTAGGCATGATGGTAGCTCGTCACTGAGATAGTGTTCTCAGGGAATATCGTTTCTTTTCATTCCATGGCTCCCCTTGAAATTCCACATATTCATGAAGCCTTTGCTCATCCTTCCAACTCTTTCTGGCCATTGTAATGGACCTTTAAGGCACTTATGGATAGCAACATGTATAAAAGCTTTTGATTATATATCTAATTCCTTAATAGCTTTCATTATGTGATTTAGACACAACTTAATTAACCAAAGAACAAGATTTGCAGTAAGTGGATCCCCGTTGGTTATAATGCCAATCACAAAAGGGCACTATTCCTTTGCAAATGGAAAAGCAAAGTTGCAGCCTTTTGCTCTCTTGCATCCTTGTTCTTTCATTTTTGTGAGACTTTGTTAATGATTGTGTACTTTTGTTCTTTTGTTTACGTTTGAGATCTTGATAAATGCAAAATA